AACCGCGGCGGGGGATCCGGGTGTTGTCGCAAGATCGCTGACGCGGGGGGACAGCAATCCGCGTTGCACCAGCGTCGCCAGGATGTGACGCTACGTGTCACCCTGGCAACGGGACTCCAAACAGCCCCGTTGCCAGAGCGATGCATAGCGTCACATCCTGGCGACACTGGTGCAACGCGGATTGCTGTCCCCCCGCGGCAGCGATCCTGCAACGACGCATGGATCCCCCGCCGCGGTTTGGCAGCCCTAGGGCGGGGCTTGTTGCATGTGCCCGCCCCCTGAGCTCCTTACTGCCGGAGCTCTGCTCCTGTGCGCCCCCGCAGGAAATGACCCCTGCCTTCCTCTGCGGACCAACCCTAGACTTCCTTGGCGGCCTCCCTGATCTGAAAAGATCAGCCCAGCCTGGGTAATCGAGGTCAAGGCAAGAGACGAAGGATGCTGTTTGCCGTTGCCTGCCTCGGCAGAGCAACCCTGGGCTTCCTTGTCGGCCTCCCATCCAAATACTAACCAGGGCCGACCCTGCTTAACAGCCAAGGTTTGAGAAGATGCTCCTGGGCCCTCCAGTTCAGGGCCTGGTGTTTTGTACTACTAAGAAAATTGTGGGTTTAGGGGGAAGGGTGTGGGAGGGAGACGGTCCCCTGCCGTCCAGAGACCCCATCCCATTGTTGGAGAAGAAGTGAGAAATCTTGACACGACTTCTGGTTCTTGAGTGCAGCTGTAGAAATATAGCAAGAGTGGTAAAAAAAGGTCTAGGAATTATTGGGGGAAGGGGAATCTCAAATAAAGGGTTGGAGCCTTCCATTTGCGGCCGTGCTTCCTTCTCTGCTTTCAAGAGGACAAAACAAAGCCAGATAAGAATGACTTGTTTTTTCCTGACAACGTTCATGCCTTTTGTCTTGAATGACATGAAAGAGACGGAGAGTTGAAAAGGATGGTTGGATTCCCACCTCTAAGTTACAAGCGGCCACCTAAGCTGCAGCCATTTAAAGTAAAGGTAAAGGTTCCCTTGCTCGAAAGCCAGTCGAGTCTG